TTCAAGCCATCCTCAAGCCATGCCCAGGATCAACTATATGAAACAGAAAGTGGAAGCATTGAAAATAGGCCTCGAAATGTTAGGCGTTCTGGACCATTGGAATACAGTGCAACTCGAAGATTAAAACATGTGGACAGCTCAACATCAGCAAGCACAGGTCCCAGTCCATTGCCAAGGTTTGCAGTGTCTAGGTCTGGTCCTATATCTTACAAGTGACAAAATAGTGAACTTTTGAAAAGTGTAAATTTCTTTCTTCTGTTCTATTATTAGTCAGTAGTGGACTGTCTGCGATGTTCATACAAATTTTGGTGTATCTATACATAAAATTCCTCTATTTATTCCTCGACGTTTGGCTCTAACAGGAGATAAATCATTAGCTGTGAGAAGCTAATTCTGAAATATCTCAATTGTCATTTGTTGTGTAATGAACTTAGAGAGACATCACTACCAAATGTAATCCCAGTCCTCCAATGTAGCATCCTCGAGTTCTATGTTTCACCCATTGCACGAGTCTTTGCCTTGGTACACAATACCTTCCTTGACTATTACGACAACAATATACTCAATGAAATCTTACGTTGCTCGACCATTAAGCTTTATAACTGGAAATGAAGAAACAGAAGATAACAAGAATAAAAGGATTCCTATATCTAGTCTCTGCCTCTACATTGATAAATACACTCAACTCCAACCAAACCAATATGGTGTGGTGATTCTTAATCCTTTTGAAGAAGTGCAATATGTCAGTTGAACCTATAATAATTGAAGTTTTGCACACCATGAAAGAAAAGGGCATCTTTTTTTCCAGAAGAGGGAAAGAACGAGAAACTGAAAAAAGAAGAGAAGAAGCAATTATGCAATATTGTTGTGGGATACTGGGATTTGTATAGCAATTTATAAGCTAGTAATCATTATCTTCTTTTGCATTATCAACCAAGTTAATGTACAAACTCCAAAGTTTAGGTACTGAACACCTCAAACATTGGCAAATCTTGTATACATTTACATTAAATACATATCATCAATATTGGAGGACGATCCATTATCATGCATCTCCCATTTAGAGTGATTTAGCAGGATCTTATCGAAGATGGTGCCTGCGAGGGTAAACTCAATAGAATGATACAGCTATAATAGGAGATACAGAAAAAAAGTTGCATGACTGGAGGAAAAAGGGAGGAACCTCAGAGTTTCTTTTGTTCCTCGACGAATTTTGCAACGAATAGTTGGAAGGCCAAGTTGCTGATGAGCTTCATAGCGATGACAGCCAGAAAACCCTGGATATAACAAGAGAGATTATTTAAATTCTCTTTAGCTATTAAAAATGAAGTACCAGTTGAAATAAATAGCAATGAATGGACTATTAGCTTACGCAAGAAATCGAAAAGAAGACGTACCGTAATAAACCCCATCTACCTCAAGCACATCAATCTGCATGAGAGAAAGAACTGTCTGTGAGTCTAATATTAACACCAGACAAAATTGACAAGAACTAAGGCAAAACTTCTACCAGCAATTACTTAAACCATAATTGAAGTGTCAAGAGCAACGTTTCCCCATAATTAACCAAATAAAGTGCAGCACTTTAGAGATGTCAAGGCTGTCATCTCTCTTTTAGCAAAGGAGTGATGGGAACTTGGTTCAGGAGGGGGCATAAATGTTATCTGGTTGTCATTTTGTGAAGTAGTTCACCCGAAAAACTGCAAACAGTTGAGTTTGTAAAGTTTTACAGTTGAACTGCATTATCAGGCAACAATTTTTTCCAAGTGATAGGTGAGCAAGTGTTCGATTGTGTACTCAGCTTTTGCAACTCTGTCTAAGAGGGAAGAGAGAATTAGCAACTGACTAAGAAACTTTATTAGTTTCGACATCAGAATAACAATACAATAGAAAGAATACTACTACAACTATATTCATGAGCCAGGACTCTCCCATCTCAGAGCTGTAACAAAGTTTAGCAATCAGTACACTGTATGCTGTTGCTAAAACGGGAAAGGAGAACAAACTTTTAAACTGGTAAGAAAAGCAAAAGAGAACCAGAGGGCAAATGCATTGAAGATGATTTCCTTACCATCTTGGAGACCAGCAGTCAGGAAGGCAATGTAAGATGTAATGTTTAGGAAATTTTTTGAGTCTCAAGGAGTTATTTCTCTTTTTACCATGTAATTTGATACTCACAATGAGACCTTCTGGATTTTTTTTTTTTTTTGGAGAAACCAACTTCTAAAGATGTGAAAATCAGTTGTAGAACGACCATAACAGATTTCTAACGAATGCTTAATACCACCTTGCTTGTTTGCACCTCGATTACTCAATCATCCAGCTTTATTATCTACATGCTTATGTATGATCAAGAAGCTTAATCCAGTAAATTTGTGGTCATCTGAGAACCTTGGGGGTCTGGGGCTACAATGCAATATTTTCTTTAGCCCCCCAAAAAAATCCATTTTAACTTTGTTATCCTGCCGTACAAAATAATCCCCCCCCTTTGCCATCTAAAAGAATAACCCTGTGACCAACCAACTACAGGCTATTCCTGTTCCAGGGTAGAATATCGTGGCCTTCTTTCTATCTAATCAAACCTGCTTTCAGATATATCCTAGTTTATTGAGTTCCCTTATTCAACCTGCTTTCAGATATATCCTAGTTTATTGAGTTCCCTTATTCAACCTGCTTTCAGATATATCCTAGTTTATTGAGTTCCCTTATTCAACCTGCTTTCAGATATATCCTAGTTTATTGAGTTCCCTTATTCAACCTGCTTTCAGATATATCCTAGTTTATTGAGTTCCCTTATTCAACCTGCTTTCAGATATATCCTAGTTTATTGAGTTCCCTTATTTCAAGTTTTTGTTATCCAGCAGACTTTATCAACGAAATAAAAGGCTTTAATTATTTCTTTGTTATTAAGTTCAATCTTTTTTACCAACCACCTACAGGCTATTCCTGCTTGATGTTAATTATGCCACAAGGTTCCTATTTGATTCAACATATTAATACTCCCTTTGTTTCAATTAATACCTCTAACTTCATTTTTTAGTTTGTTTCAGAAAGAACATAATTTTCTATATATAGTAACTTTATAATTTCAATATTCCACATGACATGTTTAAGACCACAAGCTTCAAAGAGCATTTTCGTACATTATGCACATCTTTAGTTTAGCACCGCATGATTCATAAGTCTCTCTTATTTTCTTAAGCTCTGTGCCTACTCAAACTAAGACACATAAAATAGAATGGAGGAAGTAGTAAAATAAACATGTAAGAAGAACATGAATCTGCAACTTATATATGAAGGCAAAATAGCATCTAATCATGTGAAAAGTAAATGACAGGATGATTTAGTAGTTACAGGTACTTGAAGCCCGATTTCCTTGATACTATCCATCAGTTCCTTCACTTTTTGCTGGTCATTAGATCTGGTACGCATGAGTGGCCTTCGGATTTTATCAAGGGGAAGTTCAAGAATCACTGGCCCGGCAGATTGAGGCACACCAGGAGTAGCCCCTGAAACCATATTATGAATAATTTATACGCATTAACCTTTAACAAGAAAGTTAAAAGCATTATGTACTTGAAATTGTTTGTTAACTCCCAACAAGTTTACATGACCAATACAAATATGAGAACTGACAGGTTTAGGAGTAAAGACTTCGCAATGGAAAGACAGCTATGAAAATTCAACTTGAGATGCTAATTAGGCGCACCGAAAAGTAAGTATGTATTGAGAAGGAAAGAAATAAGGATTTATGAAGTACATATTCCAGTAATTGTGCTTTTAGTCTTCTTTTTTTTCCCGATAACCATGCTGTTTGGGCCAACTTGCGGGCACCTCGATTAATTCCACGGGATACCTGCAATCTCCTACCAACAGATACCAGGTAACTCTGTCCACCAAGTAATTATGCTTCTTGTTTTTGTTTCTGATTTATAGATGGGGTTGGCTGATAGAAAATAGGATTGATCTCCATCCTTTACGGTTTTCGCCCTCGATTAGAGAACTATTTTCCTCTGTATGTTGTACAATGCATATTAGGGATCAAAAATTCTATTCCATTATTTTCTAATCTTTTGCTTACCCTGGCAACAATAACCAATTATGAGCCAAACCAATAAATGCTTCTGCTAAGCGAATATCAACTCAAGGAATACAACCAATTACCAATTCAATAACTATGGATACACTAAAACTCTTTGTATTCTGCTGAATTAATTAATGATCTTGCTATAATCACTGACATAAAAGGTCTATAGCAAGAAATAAGCGAATATCAACTCAAGGAATACAACCAATTACCAATTCAATAACTATGGATACACTAAAACTCTTTGTATTCTGCTGAACTAATTACTGATCTTGCTATAATCACTGATGTAAAAGGTCTATAGCAAGAAACCTTTGTAACACCATGAAAAATTTCAGAAAACAAAAAGCATATACTAATAGTAAATAACAAGAACGACAACAACATACCTGGTGGAATCCCACAAGTGTACGCAGACCTTACCACTACCCACAGAGGTAGAGAGGCTGTTTCCGAAAGACACTCAGCTCAAGTACAACAAATTCAAGTAAAAAAAAAGAAGAGAACATATAATATAGCAAGAAATGTATGATTTCAAAATAACTCAATTAGGAAGCAATTCATTCAATCCAAACAAACTTGGTTGAAAGGTTTTCACAAACAACCAAAAGCACACACCTTTAGCTCAAATTTGGATTTATCTAGATTATGGTGTCACAGAAAAGTTATATACACCAAAATTACTTGATTTGAGAAGAAACCCATAATTTCTTTTTTATTTTCCGAACTCTATAAATCTTTTCATAAAATAAGTATTTTTGGCAGAAATTCTCAATTACCAAATTTTAGACATAGAAGATGGAAAAAGAAAGGCACATGAATACCATTAGAGGAGGAGGAGGAAACAGTGAAGCTCCTTAAACGCAGATTATTTGGAAGTTGCAGAACAAAATTTGCCATTTTCTCTTTTGTATAACTTCTTGAATCTTACTGAATTTGATGATATATGAAAATAAAGGGACCTTGTGTTTGAATAAGAAAAACTGTCCGGTCCTTGTGGAGTTCAGTAATTGCTTAGAGACCCTTAGATTTTCTCTCTTTTCCTCCATTACACCAATAAATTGCAGCATTCTGGTTTTTCTCACTTCCATGGCTGCTATGATCTCTCTCACACTTTTGCGGTACAGTCCCCCCCCCCCCCCCACCCCTCCTACTCA